GGGAAGTCACTGGCACACGACCAGTGAAGGARCTACAGTTTTCAGGCCTCAACTGAAATACTGTTGTTTTCAATGGTTCCAACTAAGTACAAGTAAGCGAAAAATGGAGGGCTTTAAGAAGTTACTAAATCAGCTGCTCTRTCTACATTGGAAAGAGCTGCTGCTRGAAGCTGCCGGTTAYTGAGATYRTTWGTTTTACAGCATTCCTGCTGCAAGAAATCTGTGTCCTTTGCATTAACTGAATGATAAACAAGTTGTCAAAATGTGTATTTTCTATAACTGTTTGTATATTTTCCTCCTACCCTTAGCGTTTGTTCTTTGCACTTTCCATCCAAAATAGTAATGGGCACTTTGATACGGCGCCAAAAGGTGGGATTTTATAAGTCCATTTAGATAATCCTGATCTTTTCCTCCCCTTCCCTCATTCCCAAAGCAGGGACAGGTGAACTTTAGTGCTGTTTGTGTGGATTTTTTAAAAATACATTTTGGAGGTCTGCTTTGAATAGAAATGGTCTTCAGAGTTGTGATTATTTGTAGGTTCTGCCAAATGCCTGTAAAGGCGCCAAGTGGGCAGGACATGGCTAAGATACAACAAACAATACTAGGGTGTGTAACCACTTTTCCAGAGGGATTCCTTCCACCAGTGATGTGGTGTGACGTTGCTGTCCGTAGAATTTTAATTGCCAAAGATGTTTCATGTAACTTTTTCTGTCCTTCCCAAACCAGTAGCCCTGTGCTCTGCTCTGGAGAAGGATTTCACAGCACCTCAGGAACTCCCTGTGCTGTGGCTGAAGGTGCAGATGGCAGAGCTTGGCCTCCCAGGTGACAGATTCAAAGATCCTGTCTGGGCCATTCTCTCCTAAAAACATCCTGTGTTTTATTCCTCTTTGCCCTCATTACTCATGCAGTCAAATTGTTTTTTTGCAAACTGTTTTGCTGAACAGCTGTGACCTTTATAATGCTGCTGATGTAGCCATGGGTGTCAAAACCAGGCAAAAAAAGGCTCAGGGGGTGGTTCCGAGGGGCTTGTGCTAAGCCTGGGTCAATTGTGACAACTCAGAGTTGTACCAACCCTCATGGCTGTTTTTTTACTAATTCGTTCCTAACATCCATTCAAGAATTCAGCACCTGCACAGGCGCCCTGTGTCAGTGCTCCAGCAATGGAAATTGGTGTTTTCCCCCACAGTCTATTTCAGAATAGTTGATGAATTCTGTCTTGTTCCTCTCCCCTGCACTTGTCYCTCCTTGTAGCCCTGCACTGCCCACTGACTGGAGCTCTTCTGGCACCTTTACTATTAGGTACCTGTGTCCCCTTGGCTTAAAATCCRTAGAATAATTATCTGATCCCTGTACCGAAGGTAAGCTAAAGAAGATAGACCCTCTCCACCTGAGAATAGCATTGTATGAGTGCAGAAAGGCCCAGTCAGCCAAATTTGTGCTGTAGCTGACTTTAGTTTATTCTTCGCTGTAGATCCATCACCTCTGCTTTTTTCTGCCCCTCCCCACATTACAATGCACATGCAGTGTCTGTTGAAATAAACTCTGAAATAACTAAGAAGCCTAAAAGTCCTCCATTATCCCCAAACTTTTATGGCAAAAGTTTTCTTCAGAGATTGTTCTGCTGGTTTGCAAATGCTATTCACACCTCAGGCCTCCTTTGAGCACTAGGTTCTCCCATCCTGCCTTGAGGGTGCCTGGGACTGGGAAACAGTCACCTCATCCCTTGGAAGAGGTAAAAAAACCCATAACAGAACAGCGTCTGTGGGACCCTGCCAAGTCATGCTGGCATTCAAGTAGCTGGAACTGGCTGTATTCCATTACAAGAGAGCCACTGGTTTCATCTCAGTGCTATAATTATGCTTRCAATCCAATAAAGCCTTGGAAAGGTTCTTAGAAAGCTTTTGGCTTATAAGGGAAATAAAGGTTGATATGAGGAGGCTCTTGATCCTGATGCTGTGTAGCTGATGAAAATAGTGTGGGTCTCACTTTGTATAATTTAATGTTTCCTAACAGTTTCGTTATTAGTATGTAAATTGCCTACATACCCTGCAAGAGTCAAATGGCTGTAATGCTGGAGATTAATGTTGCTGCTGTCAAATCCCATTGTCGGAAGGTGCTTTGTTAGGAGTGCCCTGTTAGAAGTGCCCAGATTTGGAATGTGTCTGTGTGCCAGCAGGCCTGACCCTGCCAAGGGAGCTGGAGCAGGCTGGGGAAACACACAGCATCTTCCTAAAACCATGAGTCTGTGCAGTGAACAAACCTGACCTGCCCAGGACTCAGCTCACACTGTGGCACCAAGGTCTGACTTTATCGACTCCTACACTCTGGTGAATCTTTTCCTACAGTTCACATTTTTCTGCATTACTGTGAAAAATTCTTTTATATTGAATTCAGAGGTAAATTTGTGCATTCATGTATGCAGGTATAATTTGCTTTTTAGTGTCAAATGTGTTGGGCAGTAGGCTTGAAACTGATGTAAAAGGAAGGAGGGAATAATTTTTGACTTCAAGCTACCTGTTTAATTCTACCAGCATGTACTGTAGGAAGRGGCCTGACTTTTTCCTTTTTTCATTCCTGTTTTCCTAAGAGCCTTATATCCCTCTGTTCCTAATGAAGGTGGGCTGAGTCACTGTGTGATCAACACTCAAGATCAGGCTGTTTATTTAATTATGGGCTTAAAAGACTGATCTTAGCTACCTACGTTTGAAATCTTGGTTGTAGGCATTTTCTTCAGGAATATATATCCTGATTAACGAAAACATCACTTCAAGAAATGCAGGTCTGGGAGTGTTGCATACTCTTCAGTCTAATAAATAGTGCAGCTGTTAACTTCTGCAYAGCCTTTTGTCTTTGCAGGTTACATCTTCAGTGCATGAAGTTCACTATAGTGACAACTGAGGGCAGACAAGATGTCAAAGGAATCGGTATGGCAGAGGTGGGAACAGGCAGAGCTGTCAGGGAGGACATGAACTGAAAAAGAATCCTGAGTTCTTGCWAAGAATGTTTCTGCAGTAAAACCAGGTAAAAAGTAAAACCAGGTGAAAAAGTGTTTCTTCAACCCATTTGGACAAATGTTGATTCATCCAGTAGTGGAATAAATCCAGATCACAGTAGAAAGGAGCAGAGTCCCCATCTATGATTCTTAGACACATTGCAGGGAGATAGCCTGGTGTCAGAGAGGTGTGTGGGTGTGAGCAGGGAGGGGAAGAGGAGAGATGGACAGTGCTGGTTACGAATCCAGTTCTTTTTGTAGTAAATATCTGGGTTTTGTATTAGRAATGACACAATGTTCACCTAGTGGATGCGCAGTGGCAGCTGGATGGYGTTTAGGCAATATTTTATCCAAGAAAACCATGTTTATGATCTGATTTTTACCACAAAAGCTAATCTTTCTGAGTTGCCCTTCCAATTAATTTGGGAATAATAATTGAATGAGAATTGTATGGTAAGCTCTTAAG